TCATCATCATCATCATCATCCTTTTACTCCTGCATATTCGGGGGGGCCTGAGTCCGGAGACCGGACGAGACGCCGCGCGGCGGCCCGCCCACGCGCCCTCCTCCTCCTCCTCCTCCTCCTCCTCCTCCTCCTCCTCCTCCTCCTCGTGCCCCTTCCGCATCCACCACCACCACCACCGCCAACTCCTCCTCCTCCTCTTCCTCCGTCGCCTCCTCCTCTTCTTCCTCCTCCTCCTCGTCCTCCTCCTCCGCCTCCTCCTCCGCCTCCTCCTCCATTCCTCTCCCTTATACATAACTCCTCACTGTCGCACCCCGAGGCTGGTCGAAAGGGCGGGCCAGGCGTTTCGCCTGAGAGTTCCTCACCACGTATGAATATGAAGCTGAAAAGATTGGCAACAGCTTCATACGTGGACGGCGGGTCGTTTTCAAAAAGTGGCTCTCGCCTGAGCGCCGCGAACATTGGCTTGACAGACATAAAAGCGTTCACGGATTTCGGGCGGTTCGTTTTCAAAATGTTGCTCTCGCCTTGGCGCCACGCACGTTCGTTTGGAAAAATGCAACGGGTTTGAGGCGGCTCGTTTTCGAAATGCGGCTCTCGCCTTAGCGCCGCGCACTTTCGTTTGAAACAAATGCTACAGTTTCGCGGATTGGGGGCGGCTCGTTTTCAAAATGCGGCTCTCGCCTTAGCGCCGCGCGAGATCTTTGGAAAAAAACTTAAGAGTCTCACTGATTCTCATGGTCAACGTAATTACCAAAACAATGGTGTGTTGGAACGATTCTGGATTGTCAGGGCGCAACAACTACGCTGATTCGTGTTAAGTCACAGGAATGGTCTTCTGGCACGATTCGGGGTCGCCAAGACATACCAGTCAGGTTAATTCGTCGCGTTGGACTCCTGAAAATGGTGTTTTGGCACGCTTCAGGATTTTCACACCTGTGTCCCCCTACGGAGCAATTCCCTCAGTGGGAATGAACTGTTGTAGGGGCCTATGAAGAGGGAGCTTGCACGAAAGGTGCATTGCAACATCGTCGATGAGTCTTGGGTTTACGCTGGTCCTCCTCATCCTCCTTCTCCTTTTCCTCCTCTTCCTCCATATTCTCCTCTTCCTCCTCCTCCTCATCCTCCTCGTGCTTCATCTCCTCCTCTTCCTCCTCCTCCTCCGCATCCTCCTCCTCCTCCTCCGCCTCCGCCTCCTCCTCCTCCTCCTCTTCCGCCTCCTCCTCCTCCTTTTCGTTCTCCTCCTCCTCCTCCGCCTCATCTTTTCCTCATCTTCTTCCTCTTCCTCCATCTCCTCTTCTTCCTCTTCCTCCGCATCCTTCTCCTACTCCTTCATCACCTCTTCGTCCCCCACTCCTCCTCCTCCGCCTCCTCATCAACCTCTTTCTACTGCTCCTCCATTTCCTCCTCCTCCTCCTCCTCCTCCGCTCCTCCTCCTCCTCCTCCTCCTCCTTCTCCTCGTCCTCCTCCGCCTCCTCCTCCTCCTCCTCCGCCTCCTCCTCCTCCGCCTCCTCCTCCTCCTCCTCTTCCATTCCTTCTCCTTCTCCTTCTAAAAAACTTCTCCGGGTCGCACCCCGAGGCCAATTTTCAGGGCGGGCCGGGCGTTTCGCCTGAGACTTCCTCACCATTTATGACCCTGAAGCTTCAGAATTGACAACAGCTTCACAAATGGAGGGCGGGTCGTTTTCAAAATGTGCCTCACGATTTTGCGCCGCGCACATTCGTTTGAACAAATTTTAAGAGTTTCACGGATTGAAGGCAAGGCGGGTCGTTTTCAAAATGCGGCTGTCGCCTCAGCGCCGCGCACATTCACTTCACAAAATTTGCAAGAACTTCACGGATCGAGGGCCAACCGTTTTCGAAATGTGGCTCTCGCCTCAGCGCCGCGCACATTCGTTTTAAAAGCTGCAAGAGATTCACGGATTGAGGGCGATTCCTTTTCAAAATGTGGCTCTCGCATTAGCGCCGCGCACATTCGTTTCAAAATTTGCGAGAGGTTCACGGATTCCCATGACCAACGTAACCGAAATGGTTTTTTGGAAAGATTCAGGATTATGAGGGTGCAAGAGTTACGTTGATTTGCGGTGTAAGTCCCAGGAACGGCTTTCTGGCACGATTCAGGATCGTCAAGACGCAGCAGTCAGAATGATCGGTGGCGTTGGAACCCCGAGAATCATGTTTTGGCATGCTTCCAGGTCTTTCCACTGTGGAAATGAACTGTTGTAGGGGCCTATGAAGAGGGAGCTTGCACGAAAGGTGCATTGCAACATCGTCGATGAGTCTTGGGTTTACACTGGTCCTCCTCATCATCCTCCTCCTCCACCTCCTCCTTTTCCTCTTCCTCCATATTATCCTCTTCCTCCTCCTCATCCTCCTCGTCCTTCATCTCCTCCTCTTCCTCCTCCTCCTCCGCATCCTCCTCCTCCTCCTCCTCCACCACCTCCTCCTCCGCCTCCGCCGCCGCCTCCTCCTCCTCCTCCTCTCCTCCTCCTCCTCCTCCTCCTCTTCTTCCGCCTCCTCCTCCTCCTGTTCCTCCTCCTCCTCCTCCGCCCCATCTGTTCCTCATGTTCTTCCTCTTCCTCCATCTGCTCCTCCTCCTCCTCCTCCTCCTCCTCCGCATCCTTCTCCTACTCCTTCATCGCCTCCTCTTCCGCCTGCTCCTCCTCCTCCTCCTCCACCTCCTCTTCGTCCCCACTCCTCCTCCTCCGCCTCCTCATTAACCTCTTTCTACTGCTCCTCCATTTCCTCCTCCTCCTCCTCCTCCTCCTCCTCCTGGCACGATTCAGGATCGTCAAGACGCAGCAGTCAGAATGATCGGTGGCGTTGGAATCCCGAGAATAATGTTTTGGCATGCTTCCGGGTCTTTAAACGGTTGTCTTCCAACGATGCAGTTCCCTCAGTGGAAACAAACCCTTGTAGGGGCCTATGACGAGGGAGCTTGGAGGGAGGGTTTATTCCAACATCGTTGATGACACTTAGGTTTACACTGGTCCTTCTCCTCCTCCTCCTCCTCGTCCTCCTCCTCCTCCTCCTCCTCCTCCTCCTGCTCCTCCTCCTCCCCCATCCCCGCCCCCACCGCAGCGGGCGGCGCCCGCGGCGCCCGCCCTCGCGGCGAGAAGCCAGCGAAGCCGCTCCAGCGCGCCTCCTGGCGCTGGGGCGCCGCCCCACCGTTTTGACGAAAAAACGGTGGAGGTCGTCCGTCGTCTTCGGCCTCTGGAAGCCAAGAAACAGTCCGGGACGAAAACCGCTCCAAGTGGTGAAAAAGCTCATAGACACAAATAACAGGATCCCCCATACTCTTCCACACTTTCTGGGTCTTTGTCTTTCCCCCCCACCTCCCATGCTTTTCTATATTTTCTGGGGAGATCGACGATGACTTGTGTCTTCCCTCGTGAGCTCAGGGGGCCCGCATGGAGAAAGTCCGGGCGCTCGGGAGGCTGGCGTCGCCACGGCTGGGCCCCGCCTCCCAAGACGGGGCAGGCTGCACCGGACCGACGGGAGGCGTCCGGGGGCCGAGTCCGCAGCGACGCCCTCGCTCCCGCCTGGGGGAGGAACCCACAACGACGACGAGGACGACGACGGCGACGACGACGGCGACGGCGACGACGACGGCGACGGCGCCGGCGACGGCGACGGCGGCCGCCGCCGGCGGCAACCCAGAGCAGAGGCGGGGAGGCGGCGGGCACTCCCGCGGGGCACCGGGCGTGCCTCGAGGGCGAGTTACAGTCGGGGAGTTGACCTAAGGAGCCCTAAATAAGAAACGGGGCCCCTTTCTCCCATAAGTTGAACTTCGATTCCCCATGGAAAACCTCTGGAAAACAGAAGGCAAGCTGTAGAACAATCCAGGAACACCGAGCCCCTCCCCAACGAAAAGGGTTCCTTCTTCAGGGCCCCGACTGTATGTGGCAGCTCCCCCGACCTCGTCGAGTCACGAAGAGATCACTTGGGAAAGGTTTTTGTTCGCCACTCTTGGCTTCTCAGTTAGCATGGGGGGGGGCCCCCGACGGGGGTCGACCTCGCCTCGTCGCCGCACCGCCACGAAGGCCGGAGCGTCGTCGGCGCGCGGCGGCTGCCCGCGACGGGGGTCGACGTGGGGCTGTCGGCGGGGGTGGCGCCCCCCCGACGCTCGTTAGGAAACTCGGCATACTTTCGGCCTCCTGTGGCCCTTCCCCGGCCTCGGGACCGACCACAAAGTTACCCAAGATGAGACGGTCCTGGGGAATGGGTCGAGACCTCTGGGGGTCGACGTCATGAGAAAATCATCACGCCGGGGGTCTGGGCCATGGGAGCTTCCCATACCATCTTGTTGACGTTTGCGAATCGACGCTAGTCGACGCCAAATCGATGTTAAATCGACGCTCACCGACGCTAAATTGGCACGCTCTCACCGACTACCAGGCGCTATCGCACGCTACGAGGACAGACAAGGCTCCGATGGTATGCTGCCGAAGGCGAGGCAGGAGCAGGAGGGGGGGAAGAGGAGGGATCCGACTTCTTCCCGATAATCCTGTGATGGTGGGCCCTCGTTTTGAATTCGCAGCGCCCCTTCTCTCACTCATCCCCCTCCCCATCCCCCTCATTCGGCACACACCTCACACGTCGAGTGGCCCCATAAGGATCTTCCACCGAAGGTTCTATTAGCGGCAGAGTTGCATGCGTTCCCCGCGCCCATTGAGGCACACTCCTCACATGTTTCGTGGACCCACCACAGGGAACTACACCGAAAGCCCCAGTGGCAGCGCCCGCATGGGTGCCCACGCCCATGTCGGCACACCCCTCACACGCTTCGCGCCCCCTTTGGGAGCCCCACCGAAGGCCCCAGTGGCAGCGCCAGCACGGCTCGAGGTGCATCAATTGTTTGGCGCGCTTCCTAGAAGGAGAGGCCATATCGCACGCCACGCGTCTTGCCCCTCACCTGCCTTAAGGTACTTGCAACAGCAGATGACTGGGCCCTTCGTCCGCACACTTTCACTCCGCATCATGAGGAAACACGATGTGTGCCCGTTGTCAAAGTGAGGAGGAGAGGGACAGGACAGGACAGAACAGGATGCAGCGCTGCGGGTGGTCCCTCGCCCGTGCCCCATGGATGGCAGCCGGGCTCGCTGAATGAAAAACAGCATCGAGACTTGATCTGCGCAGCGCTGTCGGGGCCGCCCGGTCACGCGAACGCCCTCGGGTGTCCGATCCATCAGCTTGGTGGGCCATAGCCCGTCCTCGCACTGCGGAACTCGGCTCTGCAGATGACGAGGAAATGACGAAGACATGCTGAGAAAATGGAGGAGGACGGCGAGGAGGGAGAAGCAGGGCGAGAGGGGGCGCACACCGGTTGGCGCGCCCCCTCCCCCCTATGGGGCGGCACTCGTTCGAAAAGCGCGGTCATTCCTCTGGGCGGGGCAATGCCCCCGGCCCCTGGTCAAAGAGGAAGAGGAGGAGGAGGAGGAGGAGGCAGAGAAGGAAGGAGGAGGTGGACGAGGAGGGGGGAGGAGGAGGAGGAGGAGGAGGAGGAGGAGGAGGAGGAGGAGGGGAGGAGGAGGGAGAGGAGGGGACAGGAGTGAAGGGAGACGGAGGAGGAGAGGAGGAGGATGAGGAGGAGGAGGAGGAGGAGAGAGGGAAGATGAAATCAAACAGGAGCTGAAGGAGGAGGAGATGGATGAGGATGCCGGGCGGAGGAGCAGGAGGAGGAAGGATCTGAAGGAGGAATTGGGGACAAAGAGGAGAGGAAGGAGAGGAGGAAGAGGAGGAGGAGGGGAGGAGGAAGAGGAGGAGGAGGATGAACTGAAAGAGAAAGGGGAGAGGGGGAAAAAAGAGCTGGAGAGGAGGAGGAAGGGAGGAGGAGGAGCTGGAGAACAAGGAGGGAGAAGTAGGAAAGGGGGGGGAGGGAGAAGGCCGTCCTGCGGCGCCGCGCGTTCGGGACCCTGCGGCTCCGCGGCCGCGTGGATGGCCTCACGGGCGCCGCCCTCCTGGGCGGGCAACCCCCCTGCAGGGAACGGCATCTCCTCCTCCTCCTCCTCCTCCTCCTCTCCTCCTTCCTCTCTCCTCCTCCTCCTCCGCCTCCTCCTCTCCGCCTCTCCGCCGCCTCCTCCTCCGCCTCCTCCTCCTCGTCCTCCTCCCCTCCTCCCCTTCTCCTCCTTCCTCCTCCTCCTCCCTCCTCCTCCTCCTCCCATCCTCCGCCTCCTCCGCCTCCTCCGCCTCTTCCGCCTCCTCCGCCTCCTTCTCCTCCTCATCACCACCACCACCAACAACAACACCATCCTCCTCCTCTTCTGTTTCTTCTTCTTCTTCTTAATATTTAGCACCATTAGTATTATTATTATCAGCATTATTATTATTAGTAGCATTAGTATTGTTAGTATTAGTAGTATTATTAGTATTATTCTTAGTATTATTAATAATATTAATAGTATTAGTATTCTCTTGTTGGATTAGTAGTGTTAGTGTTAGTACGCGATTCATTAGTATTCTTAGGCTTATTACTATAAATGTGTGTTAGGAGTCATATTGTTAGTATTGTTAGTAGTATCAGTAATATTAATAGTATTAGTAGTAGCATCAGTAACAGTATTATCAGTATTGATATTATTAGTATTAGCATGTTTTATGTTCATTAGTGTTGTTATTATCATTATTCGTATTAGCATTGGTATTCGCATTGGAATTATTAGTATTAACAGTCGTATCATTCGTACGCTTATCATATTTATTGTTCTTATTACTACTAGTAGTATGTGTATTCTTTTCTTCATATCATCAGTCGTATTAGTAGTAGTAGCAACATTGCTATTGGTATTGTTATTATCATTATGATTGGTAGTCGCAGTAGTATTAGGATGATGTATTATTACTTGCGTTCTTCATAGTAGTATTGCTCGCATTCGTAGTATTATTCTGCTTCAGCATCATCATCAGCATCATCATCAGCATCAGCATCATCGTCAGCATCATTAGCATCATAATCATGTTCATCATGATCATCATCATCATCGTCATCATCATCAGCATCATCACTACCATTAGTAGCATAAGCATCACCATCATAATCATCATCACCATCATCATCATCAACATCATCAGCATCATCATCAGCAGCAACAGCATCATCATCAGCATCAGTATCGCCATCATCATCATCGTCATCATCATCATCATCACCATCATCATCACCATCTGCATCTTCATCATAATCAGCAGCAGCATCAGCATTAGCATCATCATCATCAGCATCATCATCGTCATCAGCATCACTAGCGTCGTCGTCATCAGCATCATCATGAGCATCATCATCAGCATCAGCCTCATCAGCATCATCATCGCCGTCATCAGCATCATAATCATCATCATTATCAGAATCAGCAGCAGCATTATCATGATCACGATCAGCATCAGCATCATCAGCATCATCATCAGCATCATCACCATCATCAACAGCAACATCATCATCGTCAGCAGCAGCAGCAGCATCAGCCACAGCATCATCATCGTCATCATCAGCATCAACATCAGCAT